CGTTTCTGCAGACTCTGCCTGAGGGAATTACCCACAGTTCATAGTGTTATAATGTTACACTGGGTTACCAGGGGAAGCCCTGAAGCATATAAAAACAAAGGTAAACATACAAGCATAGAAAGAACAATTAGCCCTAAGTAGGAAGGGGCTCACTGATACTTCATAGCCAGAGCTGTATATAGTTTTTTTTGTCCAAGATAGCATGATAATGATATTCCTAATATGCTTTCCTTTTAAATCCCCAGACTGTGAAGAAAAACATCAAAATTCATAAAATAAAAGCCAACAGAGCATCAAACAGGTATAATGTGATATGTTGCAAAGTTCCAACCTATTCCTATTTATACCATTTGGAGCCCTTGCAGCCTTTCAGTCACTTACCAGATGTCACTGAAATCCGTGAGGGTTGAGTGCTCAGGATTTAGGGTGGAGATTGGGAATTGGACCTAATTATCTAGTAGAAATGACCCAGGACAGCACCAGTATCAGCAGTCTGGCCAGTGAGGAGGAAAACAGTTCTGTTTCATGTGACAGGCTGCTGTTATAAGTGGTCCTGTTCTGTCACTGAATGACATTCAAAACCCATCCATCCTTCCATTTTCTTCTACTTATCTGAAGTCATGTCACGGTGGCAGCAGGTGAAGCGGGTCTTTCAGGACATCTCTCCCCAGCTATGCTTTCCAGTTCCTCCTGGGGAATCCCAAGGTCAGATGAGATATGTAATTCCTCCAGCGAGTTTGGGGTCCCCTCCCACTTCAGTGGGCAGAAACCTCCAGAGGAATGCATCCAGGAGGCATCCTAATCAGATGCTCGGACCACCTCAATGGATCTTTTTGACTCTACTCTACATTTTGGCCACCTGTATCTTCATTCTTGCTGTTGCTGTCCAGAGCTGCATATTGAGATCTGGTCTGTGAATATCACAAACTCGCAAACCATGGCGGAGTCCAGCTGCCAACGGAAACGTGTTTGACCTTGTGCAGAGAATTCAGACTCTCCACATTCAAGATGAGCAAAAGAAAAAGGAAAACCTGCCTTTAGCTATGCACGACTCCCACTTGGATATATTTAGTCAGAGAATAGTGAATGGCTGTTTTGTGTTTAAAGAGGCACAGCAGAAGATAATACAACACAGTCTTTACTGACATGTTACACATTGAAAAATCTGCACTACTAATTAATCAACAGTAGAAATATTTAGCTATATTTCCCATTGTATTACTTTTTGCTCCTCAAACCATCCATATTAAAGGTTCTTTGTGTCAACTCTGTGGACACCTGATCCCTCTGAATTTAAAGTGTAGAAACATTTCAGACAAGAAACTGTGAATAAAACCTTTCTGATATCAGATTGTAGGCTTCAGCTAAGATGACACAACATGAATTTAAGACCGCTTTTCATTTAATTGAAGTTGTATTCCTTCCGGTCCCTGAGGCAAACCAACGTGACCCAAACTGGTCTCTTCAGCAAACACCCAGAGATGGAACTGTTGTCAACCCTCCCATCAACTTCCTGATAAATCAAGCTGAATCCTACGAGTCTTACTGTACGTTACTGAGCAAATGTAATTCAGTGATTGAATTTTAAACTACAAACCTACTCCTGACTGAAAAAAAGGGAATCAAATTGCTGTTATACCCCCCCATCACTAATGCATTACTTTCCAGAGACGGTTGGTGTGTTTGTGGTGTTTTGTGTTCATACAAATGGATCTTTTTGTGCGCGCCTTTTGTCTGATGTGTGTCTCCGTTCTGCAGTTTATACGTTAAAGTGTGCTTCATTTAAATGGCTGCCACAGACACCCGTCAGCCCAGCCCAAGTGCCATTCATCTCCCTCTCTCCCCCTCTCGCTCTCTCCTCCACTGGGCTCAACACAGACATGACCAATGAATGAACATAGCTTTGGCCAAGAAGGGAGCTGCTGCAGAGCGGGGGTGGACTACAACGCTGTCTTCACAGAGCTCTTTCTCACTTGATTTCTCATTCTTTCCTCACACGCTCTCTCCTCTGAACCACGATTGGTATTTTTCTCTCCTTTCTCCCTTTTCTTCCTCCCCGATCCCAATATTTTCTATTGCTTTCTTCCTTTCAGCCTTTTCGCTTCAGTCAATCGTTCTCCTTTCTCCTCTCTATCTCTCTCTCGCTCTCAGCCTGTTTCTCTTGTGCACACAGACTAATCTCAATTTAGTTCTGTTTCGTATTCTTTGTTTTTCTCTTTCCATTTGTCACTCATTCAAAACGGGCTCTGGCCCTTGACTAATCAAAATGACAGGGCAATAAATCAGCCATTAATCTTGACGTTGCTATATTCTCCTGAACACAAACAGACCAGTGTGTATACACAGATGCACACTTGCACGCTGGAGCCACACAGGCCTCTTCACCAAGTCGTAGTGGCTGCCTGAAGCGAATTACATTAGTGTCCTGGTAACCAGAGTGATTTATGAGGAAATCTATTTTACTGTTGCTTTTATTTGTCTTTTATGATACACTATGTGTTTTGTGGCCGGGTTTATTTTCTGCCAATGTGTAAGGTCAAATACAACCACTTGAACCTTGTTTGTTCAAATCCCAGCCCTTTCGTGTGTGTTGCTCTTTTTAGTTCTTAACTCTCGGATGCGGGAGATACATCAGTATTTACAGAGCAGGTTGGAAGTGCAGTTTTTATATGTCGTATTTTTTCATTACTATGTGGGTTTTGTAAAACCTTTCCCTTACATTTCAAGGTTATTCAATTACCAGCATGACAATATCCATCATTTAGTCTGACCAGTGTTGGTAAATATCCATGACTGAACAATGCCAACAGGCTCAGAGGATGCAGGAAATTACAATTTGTCTGAGAAGCAGATTCAGCGAGGAAGTGAGAGTTTTGAATTAAAGATGCATCACCATGACCAACTTGGTGCCGCTGAATCACAGGGGTCAGTGATGGCCTTTTGGTCGCACTGAATCATGTTAGCGTAGTGTAGCCCTCCATTTAAACTCTTATCAAAGGGGTTATTTCACTTCTTTGACTCCACATGAAGCCCCCATGGGTCTTGTAAAAGCAGGGACCATCGATGGTTTTCATATCCTCATAGGAGAGGTCATGGGTTTACAGAGTTCCTTTGTGTTTTATGGGCCCGGGGGGACAGTGTGTGCTGTCTGCAGGACTGGTATTACCATACAGAGAGAGGGTTAGGGAGAGTTCAGACAGACCCCACTTCTGCAAATCAAACATCCCGCATTCACGTGCACTCACTTACTCACTATTGACAACACAAGTGGTTTATGTTTCCAGCCATCTGCTTGTTGTATGTGCCTCATATGACGTGTAACGTCATCAGCGAGCCCTGCCTCTCGCTGACAACCGAAAAGACTGACCGACAAAATGAGCTGAGATATATACATTTATTTATTTTGCTGATGTTTCTATTTAGTTTTGAAAATGTCATAATTGCTGATTGATCTGTGCACATGGAGCACATACTCTTATAAATCCCCAAATAAATTCCAGAATCGATGCCTGGAAGATTATGCAAAAGGAGCTCCAGTCACAATGTGGCGTGGCAAAGCCCAAGATATGAGACGCTTGAAAATATTGATCTGCGTGGGTTGCCCCTGTACCAGCCAAGTCAGCCGCCGATATCTAAAAAGGAACAATGTTGTATTGCAGTGAGGTTTATGCTGAGTAGAATTTCAGGGTAACACTGAGATTTATCTGCTCCCAGACAAACTAATCACAAAGGTGAAATCTCTTATGCATACAACATAAAAATGTGATTTTTGTTATTAATTACACCTCATATTTTATTCCTATTTCATCATGTGATGCTTTATATTATATATCATGACTCCTGGGAAATATGACAACATAACAATAATACAGTTTTGGTTATTACTTGACAGTTTAATAGCTGAAAATATATCTACAGTATGCCTTATTTTTATTATTTTGGAGTAATTATTGGTGTATAAACATTTTTCTGAAAAACAAAACGTTTCAACATGTCAGAGCAGGAATAATGAACATAATGATGGCTAAAATTAATTCAGTCGTTTCACGGCTAAAATTAATTGTCATTTCAGTTGCCGTGTCCTGGAATTGTTCGCTGTCATTCACTGTCATGACTTAATGGACAGTGACCCATTATTAATGATATGTCTGAGCTACTGTGTCAAGTTAAAATGGCATCTCGAAGAAAACCCTTTGTATTTGCTGTATGTCTTGCCGCTCCACCTTAATCTCATTTTCTATGAATCATTTTATCGTACAGGTGAGTATTTTATGGTGACATGCTTTCTGTTGTATTTTTTCTCATAAGTATGATATTATTAGTGGCGTATACATATAACCTCTTCCAGTAGATTTATCAGCCAGTTGTCTGTTACAGGTGGTAATGCTCTAAGCTGTCAAAGCTGAACAGTGCAGATAGAATATTTACAACACACCCCCCCCATCACTATCACCACACCCAGTATGGCAGTGTGGAGCAATGCAAATGAATAATTTCATCACTACCGTAGGGACCACACATCGCTTGGCTTCCAGTTACAGCATTCTTTATGCCAATTTAGCATAATTTAATTAGACACCAGTATGTTTTAATGTGGATTATTTTTTCTTTACCTTATCTACAAAATTCAGCTCCCTAATTCATTCATGCATATACATTTCCACCATATGGGAAACATCAATAGTTCGGCCTATAAACAACTGCATGGTGTTTTCTGTCTGTGAAATCAGAATAGCTCTCTATCTGTTTTCTCCCCCACCATGCGAGGCACAAACAAACCACTGACTCAATCCAGCTGACCATTCATAGCAACGGTTGCCCAGGACAACACCAATAGGAACAGATGCTGTTTGGTTGGTCTGCCGTATGACCTCGCTGACCTTTGAACCCATTGTTTCCAAAAGAGGCCGTCACTCTGTCTCGTCGAAATATTTTTTTTTGGGTTCACCACGTTCATCCCCGCGGCTCTGACGTTTTCTGCTTTTCTGTGTCGTTTCCAGATACAAAGACCTCGTGGTCCCAACTTTGGGAGACAAGAAGAAGCTGTCGCCCGAGGAGAGGTGTCGCTCGGTTCTGCAGCAGTCAAAGCTGCAAGGATGGCAGGTGTGTTTGTGTCCTGCATCTTTTTCTGTCTCCATCGATAACAAAAGATTTGCCAAATGACTTAATCCCTGACCCTCCGTTTGAAAGACCCCATGGAATCTTGACAAGTCGTTCCAGCTGTCCCACCTCATCATAATTCTGCTCACACACACACACACACACACACACAGCAGCATGGACCCTCTGCTCCCCCCCCCCTCGCCTCGCTGGCCTGTCTGCCAGACTGCTGTTGTGTCTGAGTGTGTGACCTGCAGGGTCATACAACATACGCACTCCTCCACAATGCCCCGCAGACACTTTTCATGCAGCCCTGCTTCACACACACACATATTACTCCTACAAGTAGCATGTGTTGGAATGAATAGCGCTATCTGTGGAAGTATGTCCCGCCCCCCCCCTCACAACTCCGTGCACCTTGTATAGAGTGACCTCTGCAACCCCTCCCAAATGCCCCCTAAATCCAGGAAGTGAATGCATTGTCAACATGCAAACCCTCACCCTATCCACACTCCACACCCACCTATTATCATAAATCACTGCTACATCACAGGTTTCCCATCTCTCAACTAGCAAGGCACACTCTTCTGAGATTTCCAACAGGTTCACAGCTTCCTGCTGGCTACTCCTTGAAGCTGATGGTAGTGGACTGAATGACCACATGAATGTGTTTGATCAGATTACTTGTTTTTTTTTCATAGATGGGCAGCAGTAAAGTGTTTCTGAGATACTGGCAGGCAGACCAGCTCAACGACCGCTGCTACCAGTTTCATAAAAAGATCATCACCTGTCAGAAAGGTAACATCACAAATAACAAGCCGATATTTTTGTGCAGAGTTGTGTCTGACACATCTAATGTCTTCGTCCTAATCTTCTCCCCATATCTCAGTGGTTCGTGGCTGGCTGGCCCGACAGCGGGTCCATCGCAGGCTGTCGCTACAACACAAAGAGGAGTGCAGTGTGCAGCGTTTCCTGCAGGGGGCCGAAGACATGGGGCTGCGTACCTACGACCAGCTGGTCATCCAAAACGCGTCCGACATTGCGCGAGAGAGCGACCGACTGCGCTGTCATGGCAATAGCCTCCTCAACAACTTGGGCAACAGCCCACCGCTCGGCGAGAGGCCAGAACCGGTGGGCAAGGAGGAGGATCAGCCGGTCAGGAGGTAAATTAGCGACCACATCCACAAACACCTTTATTCAGCCCTGACGACAAACAGGCATAATCTGGATTTTAAAAGGGATGCAGATGTACCTTTTAATTTTGTTCCCATTTGCCATTTGTATGTTGTCTGCATTCCAACCCATTTTTCATTAGATGAGAATTATCCACCATGAAACTGATTATAACCATCAGTCCCCTAAAATTGGTCACAATTTAACAAAATTAAAAAAAAAATAGGTTTGAGTTAAGAATTTTAGTCAGTTTTCAAGAAAAGAATCTACTGCTTTTCTTTGTGTCTTATTGTAAACTGAATATTTTTTTTAATCTGGACTACAATAAAACAATTTGAATGCATCATAGTGGGCTTTGGGAAATTGTAGTCAGCACCTCATTATTTTCTGACATTTTATAGACAATGCAATTAGTTGATTAGTCAAGAAAATAATTGGAAGATCAAATTTGTAATTATAACAGTAATAATGAATATAGTCAACTGTTGCAGCCCCGTTTATTTCAAACTAATGTAATCAACCACAAGCCTGTTCCCACTAAAGTAGGGCTCGCTACAATATAATTAATAATACTAAATGGGATGACTTGTAGTGACTGTAGAATTATTTGGTCTGGAGAACAGCAAACATTCCACAGTTACTGTCGCTCACAGGATTTACGACTGTGTGAAGGAATCATTTGCCTTTATGATCATATGTGTGCGCACGTTTATTCATGTGTACGTATGTTTCTGCAAGTGTGTGCCTGCGTCTGCACAGCGTGTGTTTTGTGATTAATGATGTCATGGTATACCTGTGTGCTGCGGACTTTTAATTGTAAGTTTCATGATGGATAGTCAGATAATGAGCTGCGTTATCAGATTGTATTGGTATTGTGTTGCACCCGTGGAACACTATCCTTCTCTGCGCCTCACCTCATTGTAATTTGGCATATATGCAATAACCCTGGAGGGCTGACTTAGAAAGTGCAAAAATGGTAATAAGAAGCACTTTTATAGGTGGTGCTAAATGAATGATCTTCATTTTCAAAGGCACCTCCCTATATGTTGAGAAATGATGGTCTTAATACCTGAAATGTGACTTCAGCACCAATAAACCCGTAGATGTGTATATGTGCTGCGTTTTAGTGCTTTCTATGGTATGCTGCATAATAAGCGCATTTATCATTGCAATATAATCTTTCTCTCTCTGCAGATAAAGCAGTAGTATATCATTTTTGTTGATTATTGCTGTCATTACCTAACATTGACTTTCATTCCAGGCCGACAATGATCGGTGACCTGTATGCTAACGTCACAAAACTTTTTTGACAAAATGACAAAATAGTTGTGTATTCAAAGAATTACTTAATTCAAAACAGTCACGGGTGTTTTGCTTAAAAGAATCCTCCTAAGCAAACTTTACAGTGCCTGAAAAAGCTAAATTAAAGTCAATAAAGTGGGAAAATTGTCCCACGTAAATTCCTAATTAATTTTATTGCGAGTAGCTGCACCTGAAAAACTAAAATATAAAAAAAAAGTAACCATACAACATTGAAGCAACATTAAAGACACACACATGATTTTTTGTATCCTCTATGTGTCCTTGTACGTGTAACATCTGCTGCTGGGATGGCAGACTGAGCGCAGGGGGGCCTCTAACAAGAGAATGATTGTCAGTGGGCAGACTGGGAGACGAGTCACGCTTGACGTATTGTGGAATGGATTAAAAGGCACTTACATGCACATATTTAACCAAAATCCAAACTCTCCAGATCTGTGTGGTTTCTGCAGGGTTTTTTTTTTTAAACTGCCTTCCGTGATCACCTCCACAAATGCTCGGCGAACCCCCCCGCCTGCAATCGGGGAACTAACAGATGGCTCACCCAGATTAGCCGAGGAAATATCAAACTGGATGTTATCAAATTACCACAAGGAGATTATATTTAAAGCATAATCTCTTCGGCCGTTTTCATCCAATTGCCCTCTTTAGCTCACATTTATGCCGTGACAGTTAAATCAAGCATATATTGAGTTTGAGCATAGCGATGATCTAAATTATATAATTGATTCAATCTGGATCATGAAATGATCTGGAAGGAGAAAAAAACTAAAGTTATGCCTGTGGCTACAGCATCAATGCCGCTTTTGTGCAAAGGATTTATCAAGTACAAATGATGGATGTCATATCAATTTTATTACCTGTATCCTTTTCTAGGTCGGTGGAGAAAAGTGGGAAAGTCCACGAGGGCCCCGTCAACGGGGGAAATCGAGTTATTCGCCACTTTCGTTCCAGCTCAGTACCCATCCCCCTCGCCATGGAGAACATGGTCCATTCCTCTGCCAGTCCACCAGTTAAACCAGCCTTGCAGCAGGTAGCCCATACCAACGAGGAAGGAGCAGGCGGGGGAGGTCTCTCCTCCCCTCGGAAGCAACCTCCACCCAAACCAAAGAGGGACCCCAACACCCGCCTGAGTGCATCTTATGAAGCAGTTAGTGCGGGGTTGACGATGGCTGCCAAAGAGAGCTCCACTCCAGAAGGGTACGGCTCTCCAGCTGGAAGCCCCCCTAAATCCCAGCTGTCCCCCACAGACCCCGCAGGTACATCACTTCTACTGGTCTTTTGCTGATACAACAGATGGTGTTTTTTTTTTTTTTTCCTTTGGTTCCTCATTGCTGTTACACATTGCTTTGACTTGTGCTTAATTGCTTATTTTATGATTTCCTCAGCCCTGGCCAAGCCCCGTCCCCACAGTGATGACTACACAACGATGAGAAAGGTACCTCCCCCGAAACCCAAGCGCAGCCCCAACACTAAGCTCACAGGCTCATATGAGGAGATTAACGCCGTAGCACCCCATCTCCACCAACTGCGCCCCGCTGATGTAAAGCTGGCCTTGCTTTCTCGTGGTGGGGGATTTGGAGGCTTTGGAGGCTTGATGCAGAGAGCCGCCTCTATAGATACTCCGCATGGCGTAGCGCTAAGCCTATACAAGGGCCAAGATGAAGAGGATGTGTACATAGAGATGTTGGGATCTCAGCCACGGGCTCGGAGCCTCCAGGAACCCCCTGATAGCCCAGAACTGGCAGACTCGGAAGCTGTCTATGAGGAGATGAAATATTTCCCTCATGAAGATGGTGGAACTCCTGCCACTGTTGTCACCAAAGCAGCCAAACTGGAGGCTCTAGGCCTAGGCCTGGTGGGATTGGGAACATCTCCTCCTCAAAGTGGGGAGCCTAAACGATTGACACTAGGGGTGACTTCTGCCATGGACATCACTCTCTCACAGAGTACATCCAACAGCGGAGCTTCCAAAACTCAGTTTGGTAAAGATGGCAGCTGTGACATCCCCGCTCCCTTCCCTAACTTGCTTCCCCACCGCCCACCCCTCCTGGTGTTTCCCCCGTCTCCCGTCACCTGTTCCCCAGCTTCAGATGAGTCACCCCTCACACCCCTTGAGGTAAAGAAGCTGCCGGTGTTTGAGACAAACCTGAACTATGCTACTGGCCCAGACAGCCCCCTGTCTCCACAGTATTCCCGCCAGAGGGCTGACTCTTCCCCAAGCCTCACGGTCCTCATGCCAGAGAAGAAGTCTACACCTCCGCTCACCCCTCCTCCTCCACCTCCTCCCCCCAGCGCCCCACCTCCTCCCTACAGACCTCCTTCGCACTTTCCCTTCCCACCTGAGGCCAGCTTCCTGGCTCTGACACGAGCAGCATCTGTCACTGGGAGCTCCGATTCCCCTAAAACATCTTCACAAAGGCCAGGTGGGGAACCGCTAGGGAAGCCGCCTCCCTACTCCCCTGTGAAGATGTCCCGTCCTGAGCCTCGACGGGCCCACTCGTGCTCCTCCTCTCCCCTGCTATTTAACCCGGCCAACGGTAGACCGCTGACCAGCCCCCTGGATGAGCTCAACACTCTGTTCAGCTCTGGCCGCAGCCTGCTGAGGAAGTCGACATCTGGCCGCAAGATGAGAGATGGAGGTCTGTCAGTAATGCTCATATATCCACACACTCACTCCCACTTACACATGTGTACAACACCAATAAAAAGAAGATCACAGCACATATAAAGTATTAAAAAAATAAAAAACTCCTTTTATCTTTTTTCCTATAATCATTATTTTTATTTGCGTTTATACATTTATTGGCTATTTGTCTACTCACAGTAAACCACCAGCATATGAACCTGTTGGTGTAAGCATTGATTTTGTCATTCTGCAAAACTGCATGCATGTCTATGTGTGTGCGCACATTTCTGCAGGAGTGCATGTGTCCATTATATGTTCTATCCACCATGATGAGTTTATGATCAAAGTCTCAGCCTGGCCTTTGCCAGATGATTTATTGGATGCTGGGTGATTACCTTCTGTACAACAATCATAGTGTAGGGCTGCAGGTAAGTAATAACCCCTTTTCCTTGTGTAGGTGTATGACACACATGATCTGTATGTGAGCAGTGAGAGAGGTGAGATGCAACAATATTCAATTCTACAGCTACCCTCTTTGGCCTACTTGAAGCAACCCATTTGTTACAGTTTCCAGTGCAATGCCCTTTGGCTGCTGCAGCTGCCTTCTAATATGTTAGCTAATGAGCTACCTTGTGTAGCCTACTTAGCATCACACTTCACTGTAAGTATGTTCTTGCTATCTGCTGTGTGCTTAGTGCACTGTATGCAGAGCACATACAGGCAGTGACACTGATGCAAAGGCTGACCTTTGCGAAAGCGGGACAAACATATTTGTTTCACATATTCAATGAAATGGGTGTCTCCTCGGGTCAAAGGTTTCCACCCCACATAGAGATTACTTTGCAGCGTTCTTATGAGAGTAGATTTTTCATTGATACCCCACATTGAGAAAACACTAGCCCATCAGAGAAGATAGTAACTGTGTTATCCCACTGTGTTTTTATCTGAGTCTCCGTTTCCTCGAAGTGTATTAGTTGTGGCTGGGTTAATAATGCATGAGCAGTAGAACGATCAGGATGGGTATCAAATATTTAACAGCTCACTCATGTTCTACGGAAAGGAGTGTGACTGCTCAGCAGCACTGAACAGGACATTTTGGTCAATTATCTAGGGGATAAAAATTACAATCAAGCGAAAGTGTATAGCTGCTGATGTCAATAGTCAGTCATCTTATGAAGGCTTATTGTGGAGCTGGTTGACTTGGGTAAGAAACTGTTGCGTCATACTTCTATAACTGTAGCAAGTTCAAGGGGCAGGAAGCCGAACTCCTTATAAGAGACGGTATGAGAGCAAGTGCTTACGCATTTTCCTCACGTGACACCTTGCACTTGACTCTTCGTCAGCACCTGGACCTGCGCAGGAAAAGCGCTGGCATCATGGAAACAGTGTGTGTGACAGGGGAACCGGGCGCTGGGGTATTTTGAGTGCGCAAAGCATGGCGGCTCTCTTAGATCCAAGCGCAGAGGGATGCTGATGGGCTTAACAGGACGGCCTACTTCCGTTCCCTCTCGGCTGTTAAATGACTGAATGTGATACCTGACGCTGTGGGAGTGGCCAGGGGTTACAGTTGCTATCCCAGACATCTCTGTGAAGAGCAGCTGACTCCCCCTCCTCCCCTTACCCTTCCTCATTTTCAGGGAATGAGAAAACCACAGGAATGCCCGGGAAAGAAGGCAGGTGGTTCTGGCAGGCTGCAGGAAATCAGTGTCATAAGACACTTCATACCTCAACAGCAACATATGAAAATCCCAAAATTGGATAAGTCCAATTCTCTTTTATTATTGTCTTCATTGTACAAATCCAAATACTCGCTGTCACTCATCAGCACGAAACCCTCACATGGGCCCTTTTGTCCCTCATGACTAAACACCTATCCCATGGGACCTATAGCAGAGTCTGCTGCGTTTATATTTAGGTATCTTGTGACCATGGGAGGACGAGGAGACACACATTCTCAGTGTGGAACAGCAGCTGATGAATTCCCATTCACACTGCCTCACACATATGTACCCACAGCCACTTACCCAATGCAGTGTGGGAGAGCATGTGAGCCACAAGGAGCAGCAGCAGGCGCAAAGTCAGGCCATGTGAAGTCACCTTCTTACCACTAAATAAATGCTTTTTAAAAGGCTTGGAATCATGTTCAAAGAGGGGTGGGGCTAAGATACTGGAAGATAGTATGTGATTAGCTAAATCATAAAACTGCTTTTAAAAACTGAATTGACCTCGAAAGGCTTTGAAGAGTGTGCTGGGTGGAATATAAATAGTTACTGTATGTGATGCCTACTGTATATGACAAATACTGACATGTAATGTGTTTTCCTCTGGCTATATTCCCACTAGGATTCAATTCTAATATCAATCTGCCAGGGAGGGAAGAATGTGGCTCTGCCCCCACCTCACCATCTCTGCAACTACAAGACAAGAACGCCAACAACCACTCTCCTCACTCCCCGAGTCCGGCTCCTATAGAGAACGGCAACCAGATCTCTAATGGTAACAGCCACGTGTTGCGTACTTACTGTCACAGTTCAACTCACGTATTACATAGATTTTCCAGGTGATTCAAATGACAAGGTTGAGCAGGATAATACAGGTAGTAGAAAAAAAAAGTGGGGAGAAAAAAATGTTTATTATAAAAATATAAGCACCACAACTATATACAAGAATGTACACATATACGGGTGCACAGAGAATATGAAGTTCAAGTTGATTCAGTTATAACCATCGAAATGCTTGCAGCTTCTCTGTTGGGTTTTTTGTTTTTTTTCTCCTTTCACATTTTTACCATTCATTGAATTATTATTATTTTTTTTTTGTTACTGCAATTTAAAGTATGATACCTCTATGGAAACAGCACAACCATGGCTAGTAGAGGAGAGAGCTCAGAAATGGCCTTTGTGTAGTTTGAAAACGTGAATGCCAACATGTACAGCATTTTTCAAATTTCCACAGTCGATTCTGTAAAAAGAATCATGGCTCCATAAACTGCAGGTATCTTACTACTTACATTTTCAATTTGTCTCCATGCTTATCGCCTACCTGCTCTGTATAAACCCTGCCTGCGGTTCAGCTGAGAAGTCCCTGAATTTTTATCACATGACTTTTGCTCACAGCTGAGTTAGTCATGGCTTCCGAGTGCAGAATTTTTTTTCTTTGTTTTTACAGTCTTGTTCGTGCAAATGATCCTTTTTTTACAACGAGATATATGTAGAATAAAGTTGTTTGGAGAAATATCGCAAATTTAAGTTTAGATTTGGTCAGTTTTCTTAACGGAACAATACAGCCATTAGGTTTTAATTTAAAAGCTAATGGTTTTTCTCTGTTTTTACAGTTTATTACTCTAATAAATAGTGTCATTTTGGCTCCTTTTTTTAAGCTAACACATCCTTTGGAGTTCAGAAGATTAAGTAGGATTAGCACAGTCTGTATACTGTACGTGTGTGCGAGGAGGTAGAGTAACCATGTGTTTTGACAAATGCGTAGCGGCACAATAAGCAAAGTTCAGGTAACCCTAACTGCCCCTGGCCATAGAGGTGCCACCTCACAGTTCAGCACGACACACGATACAGGGTTCACTTCATGAACTGAGGACACCGCCAAGTTTTCCAGTGCTCGAGACATGTACTCTACAGCTGTCTGTGTTGTTCAAATGCTATGTAGGAGCCACCCGATCACATTTGCCTTCACTGGCACAATCTTGTTTAACATTGTGAAATGGTGTATATGCTGCAATGCAATGTATTATTATTCTCTACCTGCTACAGTGCTGTTGCTGCAGATGTGTGATTCTATAATGAGAGTATAGTTCCACTGACTCTGCCTGTGGAGTTGGGAGTTAATTTAGCAGGCCAACCTAAGCTGCAAACTCTCCTTTAACATTGTCTTGCCTTTGTCACATCAGAGTCACATAATCGCTATTAACTAATCTTGGAGATGCCTGAAATAAAAGCACTGTGCAGGTGGAGAAGACAGGCTTGTGAAGCATAAAAAGGAAATTATATGACATATTCAAGTGACCTAAGAAATAAGAAAAGAAAACACACAGATACCATAATAGAGAATTTAAATTTAATGTTTGCAATATTCCTTAAACGTACAAAGAAATTCACATATTTTCTTGACATTTTCCTCTTTTTTTTTTTTCCGCATTAGAGAAGGTTGTTTAAACCTCTCTCTGATTGTATGAGAAGTGAGGCGTCCTTCAGCCTGTACCCGTCTCTGTGTGGGAGGACTTCCAGTCAGATGTTGGTGGTGTGTGATACACTTGTGATGTTGTGTGTTCAGGGTCGCTGGAGGATGAAAGTCACAGCAAGTCAAACTCCTCCAGCAGCACCTCGATGCACAGACACATGGACAGCCATCATACTCAGGTAAACACGTGAAGAAAGGCACCAAAATACACACAAAAGAATGCACACACTTTGTATTTCTGTGTGATGTTACCCGATTTTCATTTCAGATGCTTTATAGCAGCAGGTGTTGTGTTCACTTTTGCTTCCTAACACCTTACAAAACACGCAATCCTTCTGTGTCGGATCTGTCATTTTAGTTAAAAACATGCGACTGGGACGCACATGTTTACACGCACAACACACACACAATTACAGCACAACTATATGAGGTTTCCATTGTGTTTGTTGACATTCTGAATGGACAGGAAAGTGGCCTCCTTTGAACACCGTGTATCACTCATGACATGTGAGCTTTTTCTGGCTCTGCAGACAGGTGTACGGTTACAGGATTGAATTTATTGTCCTGTACACTTGCACCCAAGCTCACACACATGCCTACACACAAACAGACACACACACACACACGGCCTCCTCATATGGAACTGATAAAACTCCGATGACCAAGTGGAAACCATCTTGAGCGAAGGGGAGCCTTTTGAAAACCGAGACATACCACTAACTGATAAACCTGTACGTTAGAAAGCTTTAATAATTTAAAGATATAACAATAGAGATGAGGGGGGGGGTTACCAGCAAGATCACACTCACATGATTGACCCAGCACACAAGATGTCTGCAGGGAGGGACGGTCACAACCGAGAGATAGACGCTTTTGTGGTGATTATCATGTGCTCTACCTTCACCTCAGGCCAAAACACTTGAAAACACTAGAATTAGTCTTTTAGCTGTAAAGACCAAACTCTCTTTGCTTCCTTTCATCCTAATTGTCAATCATTAAACTGAAAAGATCCTCAAAATCCTCAGGCATTAATAGATTTAGCTGCTCGTTGAAGTAACTGAAGAGCCGCAGCATTCTGAGGGTGCTCTGCTTCCGCTCTGTATTCGATGAACAACGTGTGCATTAAATTCTTCTAATTTCCTGTTTAAATGATTTCATTCCATTGGCCTCCAAGTGCTACAGTCCGGTAAATATTCTCTGTAACAGAAGAGAGAAGATGAAATTCCAACTAATGTGTTCGCATTCAACATTCTGGCTGCCATTTTAGCCAGTCTATGTGTCTAATGTTTCCAGACTCTGTGACCAATGTGCAGATTTTTTTCCTCGCTCAACCGTCTTTACATGACGGACGCGTTTTGCAAGATCAGCTCGCGTCTCTGGAGCATGAAATTTTACTCGTCAACATCTGTCTGTGTACATCGGCAATTGACTGAAATGTGTTTTTAATGACGTATTTCATTCACATGTGCACAACAAAGCTATTTTTTTTAATTTCTTGGCGATAGAGAAAGGAGGAGCAGTGAGGGAGGCAGAAGGCCTGTTAACCTCCACTGTTTTCCAGAGCGTTTACTTGTTTCCGTGGTCTGATGATGGGACAAATCTGAAATCTGATCACGGCTCATGAATACTATGCCGACCGACAATCATTACCAAGCTGCTGAGATTCAGATAGAAATCATTATTTTCTTATGACACCACATTACAGTGGACAAAAATACAATACAGGATAGCTGTGAGATCAGCTACAGTAACAGTTCAAATGAGTAATAACACAGAATGTTAAGAAGGAAAGAAAGGTGCTGTAAATGGGATAATATTTCTAAAAACATCATTTTTTAAAAAACCTCTAAACTATTTTAAGCATGTGGCAGCTGAAAAGTAATACTAAGTGCAGCCAGATGATATTCCACCTAATACACATGCGTTTCCTTTCTCTGCTTTTGCTGTTAACAAATCAAATCTATTAGCCAGGAACACAGGAATTTATATTTGTATTTTTAGAACATGGGCTTCAAGACAATAACTGATCCACACATGCTGCTTTTGTATCTTTATTGCACAGTTGTACATTGGTCTCATTTGGAAGTCATTTTATAATAATGCAGGTTAAATTGCTAATAGTGTGCACGCTGCACATGCTCTCCTCGGTACTTGGTGTGCCGCCGCGTCACATGTTCCAGAGTGGAGTTGTTTCGCTCAAAACAAAGTTTAATCACGTGGAAACTAATTGAGATTCATCACGGACTGTATCAGTGAGTGACTGAGTGTCACTGTCAGCGGTGCATGAAGCACAAGAATGAGCAAAAAGGACATAGTGTCCCACTTTCGGAGGAGCTCAAGACACACCATTCATAAGGCGATTCCACTAGAGATGTGAAGGCACGCTGTGTACCCACTTCACAATCCTCAGGCTAATGAAATGTTTTACCTCTGCATTCACAGCCGCGTTGAGTTCAACTTATGCATCTTTTTAAGGCTTGTTTGTGTAAGTGGAATAAAATACTAATGTGCCGGCACACTGTGTTCAAGGCTGCTTTCATACAGTGTTTAAAAAAAAAAGAAGAAAAAGAAAAGGTCTGGAGCACATTTCAGCTTCTAATGTAATAGTTTACGTTATTGGAAGGTTCACAGCGAAATATTCAAACTTTTAAGTTGTTCTCTTGTATGAAAATGACTCCTTTTTTCTCTCTCTCTGTCTTTCTCTCTTTGATTCTAATAAGCTTGGCTGTTATTCTCTCGCCCTCCTTTATTTTTTCAGAGGGGTCATCTCAACTTTTCTCCGTTCGGTGCGGGGGCTGCCCTCTAAAACAGCGAGGGGGGCAGGGGGCTCACTGGAAGCCCTGTCCACATGTAGGGATGTGGTGAGTGTATGTCATGCCACTCTGCTCCCCGCCCTTAATAGCAGTGTTTTTCATCGACCCAGCGTGCAATCATGACAGTAATGATCGCCATTTTGCAATAAAGGCTTCAGAAGTCAAAATTAAAACCACACAAAAGTCTCTTTTTTTGCAGTATGAAAGACTTACCTCATGGAGAGGATGGCTTTAAAGAATTTTTAGTTTGGTCTTTTATGGAGATCAGAGACTGTGTTCAATAGTTCCAAGTGTCCAAAGATAAAAACACAAAGGATAAAGTGTGTTCCTTTTATATAAAGACTCAATTCATCTAAAAACATGGGTCGCAGGAGCAGAATTCTTGAAAACCACTGCTTTTGCAGGACGTCATCTCAGGTTTATGTGCTCCCTTTCTTTCCTTTGCTTGCCGAGGCATAAAGTCTGATCTCAGTATCAGTGACATTGCTGCATTCACACCCTCTTTTATTCGTCATTTCTGGAAACTGCAGCTCTTGGGTTTAGCGCTCAGTACACCTGCATATGTGGACGAGTCATATGATAATTACAAGTCGTCTCTTTAGCAATGTCCTTGGTTCAGAATATGCAAATAAGCAAGCGTGCCATCACTGATACATATGGATTTTACCGCTAAGTAGAACTGCAATGATTCGTTGAATAATTGATTGTCTATGATTGAATTAATCGCCAACTAATTTTGTTAATCGGTTACAATAATTTTGTAACAATAAGTGTAGAAATTCTCTCATTCCAGCCTCCTAAATGTGAATACTGTCTGGTTTCTTTACTCCTATATGGCAGTTTACTGGATAAATTTGTGTTGTGGACAAAATAAGACATTTTTCACCATTTTTTTCAACAACTTCTCAGTTAATCAAGAGAAAATGTGCAGATTAACTGTCAATTAAAGTAGATGCAGAGACACTTGAGCCAGAGCTGCAGTTTTTATCGTTGCTTATCCATCTGCTGGAATTTTACGTTGCTGAATCCATCACTTGATTCCCATTTTAACCTTTTCCTCAGCCTCTTTCTCTAGTGTCATTGTTGATGTTACGTGTATAAGCTGTACAACCTCAGTAATACCTTCCACATTTTCATTCTGATGTGTGATGAAATCACCGTGAGAGTGTTGCAGACAAACTGTTACATCTTATTTATGTTTACTGTTAAGAGAAGCTCTTTCGTCTTGGCGCCTTGCTTATGGAACTGATTCATTATCAGGAGTTTATTCATTGCCACGACATAGAAACAATTCTGTGACCCAGTATGCCTTTCAATTAGCTGCATTCCACGCTGTGTTTATGTAGGATTTGCACAACTAACAGGATAAATGAAAATGAAAGGATGAAGGAAGATGGGGGGGGGGGGGGTCAACTCATTTAGGGAATGAATGGACCGGTTTGTTTTGGCCCCTGTAGTGAGTATAGACAACAGCAGTCTAGACTAATTATATAAAGAACTGACGTACTGTTAAATGACTGAATGGTTCAGAGATTGATGTTTTTGTTTATCCCTTCTGGCAAGGTTGAGGCAGAAGTGATGGCATTCAAAGGAGAAGGAGTGGTCACATGTTTGATAAAGAGCCCTAATGTCTAACGTATCCAGAGACATTTCCAGGAAGGAGCTCACTCATACTGTAGGTCATCAGTGACTGCTTCTCTTCCGCTCTGCAGTTCCTCTCTTTCGCACTTCCCGCTCTCCTCCATCAGTCTGGGTGAAATGATCCTAGAAATACAATCTGTTTCATGACCTCCCTGTTTTAGCTGCGTTTAAAAAACAAAAAAACACCTAGAACAGGCATTGATTTTCTGTTTCTTGTGTTAGTGTTTGTCCAAGTGAGGAAAAACCAAATGTATTAAAATGTATTTATATTGTGTGCCACTGTGTGAGCGGTGCAGACACAGCTTTAGATAAATAAATTAGCCTTTAGCCATTTGTCAGCGTGTATATGTGGGTTTACACAATTGCATGCATAGGAGTTTGAATGCTGGAATGTGTGTGTTTTTTATGTGGAGAAGCTCAGAGATTGTTTTCACACTCGGTGGCCTCAGGACATAATGTCTGTGACAGTCCACAGTGACCACTAGTCATCCTACATTATCATACTATTACCATAACATTACCAATGCATTAACATGTTGGTGTGGATACTGGAACCCTCCCCCACACAGGCAAGGGTGTGGTCAAGATTTCAGAGGAGGGTGTGTGTTTCAAACCATTTTTTTTTCGATCAGAAAATGTTTTATTTTGGCTATTTTATGAAAATTGGTGCATCGGTTTTATATTTTTTGATTCCACTCATAACAGTGATGGAAAATCTTATAAGGGAATAAACATATGCAAGTCATCAGACGAAAGGGTGTCGAGTTCAGATACAAGACTTTGATTTCAGACTTCCAATACCAAATCGCTGCACACTGGTTTATTTTATTCTGATATCGCATTATGTCAGAAACTCAGCCAATATTTCTTGCTGTAATTCCTAAATGCGGCATTTATCACCTCAACTCAGTGTCATGCTGACATTTTGAAGATGAGTATTAAAATGTTTTACATTTTTGGGAATCAAGGCCACAAAGTATGAAACCCCTCAGAATTATTAATAGCCAAACTGTATCTGAAGCTCATTGCATTGAGTGTGTGTAAGTGTGCGTGTGTGTCCATGTACAGTCATGCATTGCAAGAAGGACGCGGTGTTCCTACTGTTCAAGTAGCTGGTGTTCCTGCCTGGCGCCAGAGCAGAGAACAGCCTGGCAGGGAGGTGTAAATTATGGATTAGGCTGTTGAGTATTGTGCTTGTGCAGGCAATCAATCTGTATGTGTGTTGGTGTGTGCGCACATATGGATACTTACAGGTATGCGGTTCAGCAGATATGTGCATGTATATGCGTCAAAGTATTTAATGGGAGCAGTGTGCATTTATTGGTGTGCGTGTGCCTGTGGCTATGCGGTGATGTCTGTTGTGGAATGCATCACTAAATGTACTGTATGCTTGGTGATATACTGGAAAAATGTTGCAATTGTAAGCACTCCTGACTTGATTTAGCTCATTGCTCCAACTCCAGCACAGTGGAAAAAGGATCAGAAGTGAAGGGAAACAACTAAAGAAACTGAACATGTAGCTTATTACTCTATGTTTTGGACATCCAGAAGTGACTAAAAGCTATTTGAAACACACCAGTGTTGGACTGAGTGGCATGCTCCTCCATTACGATTTGCACTGTAGTTTATTTGCAGTCAATTCCACATACCTTGTCCTGGTGCTTTAAATTCTCAATGCACCACGAGGTGTATTAATCTGCAGCTGAAATTAGTTGCCAACAAATGCACAGTTTACTCCTTGTTAATAATGCTTGCTGAAGTGCCCGTGTGGTTTGGGAAATAAGCCAGTAGGCAAAAAGTGTTACCGACAGGGAGCCAGAACAAGACATTTGTTCTTTTGGGTGTTTTTGTAGGACTTGTAGACAGAACAATATACAGTTGATTAATGTCTGACTTATCCTTTGGATCTCACCTACAAGGAAGGAAGGAAGGAACTGTTTTTTGCCCTTTAACAGCCCATCAACTTCCACCATTACAACCTAACCCCCCCCAGTTCTTAATCTGGGCTGGATCGTCAGGGCTTGGTCCTGCAGCTGGTATTACTGACTGAGGGAGATTGGAATTCCTGTCTGATTGATTTACCTGGATATTGACTCGCAGATGACTGATGATGTGCTCTATACAGACTGTTGTGTGTATGTGTGTGTGTTTGCACACTTCTGTCTGTAAGAAAACAGAAGAGCCAGTTTGAGCTGCAGAAGGGTCTCTACTGTGATTCACAAGCTCTTCTTGGAAGTGATGCATGTGAGCTCCGGAGACAGAATATGGAAATGAATTGCTGTTAAAGCTGTCATTCAACGGAAGGGATTCCCCCACCCCTCAATGTTCCCTGCTGCATCAACTCTTATGAGATGGCATCGTGCCAGGCCCAGATTCATTTCTGTATTTAGAATGAGGAGAAGTAACCCAGTTGAAGAAACTTCAGAATCAGACAAAGCTGTGTCCTGTTTTTCTTCCTCAGTAGGTTCTAATCTCTCATGGATATTTGGTTAAAGCTTGATATTTAACATTTCTGTCTTCCATTGTTTTGATGCTTATGCAAGGAATGGTAAGACTGAAGGTGGTTTCTTTTTATAAAGCCGCTGTCTGTCATTCTCACTCCTCTCCAATCATAGCTTGGTCATGTCAGCTTTCTTCCATCAGTCCAGCTGGATGTGATAGATGCTCTGTTTATTCCTCAGCTAACCCAAACCCACTCCTTTCTCCATCTGCTGCACCAGGTGTTCCAGCGGTTACGTCTGTCCAACGGGGATGAGAGCGCCGCCCTGGCGGAGCTTTTGCGATGGCGGCGAATGCAGTGTGAGGGGCGGAGTGACTGGAAGCACCGTCCACCCCAATCCCCATCCCTGCCCCCCACGCTGCTCTGGACCAACAGGAAGGCCTCTCCGTGACAGAGGTTGTGTGATACAGTCACGTGTATTGGCTATGAAGTTCCTCCCTCTTCTTCAGCCACACTCGCACATGCTCTTAATTTTTTGTTTTGTTTTGTTTTGTTTTTTAAATCCGGGCCAATAACCTCAATGCCCATGGACTACGCTGAAGCTCCAAGCCCTAAAGCCTGAGCCTAGTCCCTGGGCTGAAGGTTCTGCTTCTCCCCTTTGTACCTGACTGTGGAGGATTCCCCAACCACTATGACAGAAACTCAGCATTATGTGACACTGACAAGTGTTATACATTAAAATAAGTGGAAAGCAGACACAGTAGAGGTTCATGTGGAGGTGGAGGTAATTCTAAAGTTTTCTTCTGAGATAAAACATATGATGTCCATCAGTGGGAGGCTGAATTTAAGAGCAAGTTAGCAGTGTTTTCATGGTGGTTCCAATACTGAGTAGTCCTTGTATTCTGTCTGTATCCAAGCCTATCGTGATGTACTGCTGCACACAAAGGAGCTCCACCCCGAAACATGGTGCTGATTATACTTGACATGCTGTCCTGTGATGCTCCCATGAGTTCTTTTGTGTGCACCCACCCGAGACTCAGACCTCTAAAGTTTACACGTCAATCAAAGCCTTTGGAAACCTCCGATTTTTAGCATCCGTGCACGGGCTTAGACATGGGACCTTTTTCAGGTACACAGCTCTCACTTAGCCTCTCATGTTGGGGCTCTTAAGTGCTACTGCAGCCCTGGTAACGAGCGACCAGGGGTCAGGGCGACCTCAGTATTATCCCAAGGTGCACTTCTCTTCCTCTTTGTTACCACCAGCCTTTGAGGAGTGAATCCCTCTGGCCAAATTTCAAACTACTGCACTTACCTTTACTGTGAGAAGGGGATCCAACAAAAGAACCTGCATTGGTTTAAGGTGTAAAGCTGAAAAATACAAAGCTTTAGCTGACAGGTATATGGTTCATGTTGTGAACATGAAACTCTGTGCCAAAGTTGTGTGAAAGATATATCTAAACGTACAGTTAAAAACTGATGTGTACAGTCGTTCCTGTAGACTTATATATACAATGACATAAATGACCAAATCATAGCTGTTACTGCGGTTCAGTGGTGATTCTGTGGACTGTTCCTTTATGGATCAAAAGTACATGTTGAAAAATAGGGAAAATACAGTCTACACTTCTAAAGTAGCAACTCGACTCTCATTGCGTCTCATCGACACCTGGACAGGCTCGTGTGTTTGGTGTTGTTCAGGAGACTTTCGCACACAGATGAACTTGATTATTGTACAGATTCCTCACAGACACCTCCCGTGTCCTCGCGTCATCTCCTTTCTCGTCATCTGACCACAAACAAACAAGACCTGTTTCCCCACTTGACCCCGCCGAGCCCCTCCCCTTCCCCGATGGATCAAACCGGCTTTACGGGTGTTTCCATGGTAACCACATTGTAAATAGTGACCAGTGTCGTACGTTTTAGCTTTTAATATAGCAGAGGAGCACAGAGGTTGAGCTGAAAGACAAGGGACATGGTAGAGGTGAGATAATACTGTCTATGATGGTGAAACTGAGATCGAAGAATGTCTTGGGTTAGATGCAATGACGGAGGTAAAGAGAAGAGGTTTATTTTAAAATGTGAATATCCTTTTTTTCAGAATGACTGTCTATGGCTATGAAATTCTTTATACTCTATTTAATATTATTTGTTTATTCCCCTCTATACCCCCCGACCCTGTTGTTCTGTTCCTCCAATGCAAGGCAGGTGTTTTTAAGCGTATATGGATGTTTTATTGCACAATGTTTATGTGGTGTTGTGTTGACTTCTGTAATGGGCTGGGTGTGTCCCGACAAGCTGTTTGATCTTCGCAGATCAGTCTGAATTGTTAGAGCCGCAAAGTATCAATAGCTCTAATTGATTTCTCATTCCCACTGATCACCCACAATGTGTCTGATTGATTCAGCCTTACAAATTAGCAGCACCATCAAAGGATCGATCTCGGCTGCTGTCGGTGCGTGGAGGTGCACAAATATTCAAGAGGAATTAAAGGAGGCCGCTGATATTCAGGAAAGAGATGGCAAAACGAGCTGAGCTGCATTTTTTCGACTGACTGGCTGAATGTATAAATGCAAAATTTTTATTCCAATACCTGTGCACATCACGGAATCCCTTTGTATCTTATTATTGGAACATGCGCCTGTATCTAAAGAGTGTACCTAACTGCTTAATGTGATTGTTGTCTTCAGAAGTTATGTATGCAGTTCATTTTTAAAGCAAGTTAATAACAATACGATATTGATTTGCTCCATGATTCACACCTCGTGTGCTGTGATTGGGGCTGCATGAGTACTGCAATGGAGAACTATGTCAAACATTTTTCACACAAGGATTTAAACTCATCTGTGATCAAACGCAGGAATCAACATCAAGCTGCTCAACTTTGCCAATGCCAGTGAAAGAGAATTCCTCTCCTCGGTATTTGCCCTTCGTTATGATCCGAGCTCTGGTTAGTCATGTGCGGTTTTGTGTATACCCATGTTTACAGAAGTCATGAAATGAGGACATTGTTTTTATTGTAATTTAAAGCATATCAGTGCTTTCTACCTTGCATGACCACATGTTGGGCCTCGCCCCCTATAACATGCTCGTGCTGAAAAGATAAAGGCTGTCTAATGTGAAGAACTGCTTCCCGCTGCACTGTGAATCACCACTCTGTCCCCTATGTCTCATCCACACACTTTAATCCACCTTCAGTTGGATCGGCCCGCAAAACGCGTCACCTCCATCCCATAAAAAACCTCAAAGAATTAGCTCAGTCTGTCGAAAGCATACCAAACTCTGGCAGCCAGATTACTGCCAGTCATCTTTGTTAGTCAGGAACCAATAATCATCTGCTCTGAGATCAGCTCTCTGGTGCTGCAGCCAGTGCAGAATGGTCATTCTGTTGTCCCCAGTCCATATATAGATGTCCAGAGAGACACAATATTTCAGCACCTAAAAAGGGTTATCTCACTGCCTTTCATAGTGTTGTTGTTTTTGTTTTTTTTTTAACTGTAATATTTCTTTTGTACATGACATACAGTATATTTTAATCTGCATACATATGTGTTTGTGGAAAGAAAAAAAGATTGTGATATTTCATAATTATTATGTTCCCAATGTTTTATAAGTACTGTACCTGTACAGCAATAAAGCACAATTGTGTCAATGCCAGTCTTTCTGTTTGAGTGTGTGTGTGTGAGAGAGAGAGTGAATATGATCTTTAGCTGAAATTCTAACCTAAAAGGAGAATTGCACCAATTTTACTCATCCAGTTGTTAATTTTGCGCATGTAAAAGAAGTTTTTGTCTTTTAACAGGACATCAGCTGCCAACATTTTAACCTCCTGCTCCTAATCTGCTCAGGATAATCAGGGCTCGGTCCTGCTGTTTGTATTACTGACTAAGGAAGATTGGAATTCCTGTCTGATTGATTGATTTACCTGAGTATTGACTTGCAGATGACTGATGATGGTCTCTATTCAGACTGTTGTGCTGATGTATGTATGTGTGTGTGTGTGTGTGTGTGTGCATGCACTTTTATGTTTTTAACCTGGGTGGGTTAGACAGAAGTACACCAAAGCTCTGTTGCCCACTTCTCTTTCTCTGCTTGATCTTTGTGGCTTTCGATGATTTGAGCGGCCTTGCAGGTAATGTTATTTTGCAAAGGAGGAAAAATTCATTGAATATAACTGTCACTACTTCTGCTGCTGCACTTTACAACTACAGTTCCTGAGAAAATGTGCTTGGATATATTTCACAGGTGGCTTGTTTTTTAGTGAGTGTAAGTTTCTCTGTATTTGCATAAACCACCAAAGCTTACAAGGGATGAGCAATGTTTAGCATGACGCCTATGCAAAGTGACATTTCCCAGGATGAGCGGCTGCGCTTCCAGGCGTTTGCTAACCTGCGGTGGTTTCTGTTAATACTCACGTCAAGACAAGCACAGCTCAGTTGTCTATGCGTCTCCCAACATATATAACTCGCTGAAGTAATTTAGAGGAATGTTTCCCCCAAGCAGGAGTCACTGCAAGACCTCGCCTCCGAGTGTGGGAGCCTGCGTTTGAAGTTTATGTGTCACAGCAAAGCGTTTCCACCAAAGGCTGCTGACTCATGTGCTGCCAGGTGGATGCACTTTGAAGTCAAAAAGTGTGTTTCTGTTCAGCAACATTATCATTTTGGCATGGTAGTGGCATTATCACCTTGCTGCTCTGGAGTTCTCACTTCAGCTTTCAGTGCATTTCCAAAGGCACTATTTCACATGTGAACTCTGATGGAGCAATCTCACCAACAACATAAGATCACTGAATCAACACAGCATGCAAACATTACTTTTTAGATTTTAGTAAAACCAAGTGGGTACAAATCACTAAACACACAGTAGTTGTGTTTGTGTGTGTGTCTTTAAATGTATAACCCCTTATGATTTGTTATTGCACACACACATATATAGTTAAAAGCCACTAAATTGTGAACCATCTGGAGCTCCTTTCTGTAAACAAACATAAATTTATTAGTGTTTGCTTATTTATATGCATGCCAGGTACCAGACTAGCTCAGCAACAGTGAATATTTATACTACTAATTTGTATATAATAATAACATCTGTGCTATTATGTCTCTCTTGAAGTACCGTTTGACTCAGTGTTGCTCACAGACTGAATTAAAAATCTTGTTTAGGCATTTGCAGCGACATGTTTTTGCCATTTTAGTGAGCAAGAACTATACTTTGCATTCTGGTCTGCCTTTGTTTGGAGGACAGTACACATTTGGGTGTTTTAGCCTCCAACAGTAAAAGCTAGTTGGCTTTCTGAATCACTGCTGGTTCCAATTTATTAATACACACATTGCATGTGTTAACGTGTGCAAACAGCATTTCTCAAAGGCAATGAGTTGCAAATGAGCCACTTATATTTATATGGATAAGTGGGGAGCAATTAAGCATTTTGAAAAGAAATTCAGTCCAATTACCACCATCACTGACTATGTTGGCATGCACAAAGGATGTGTTGGGGGGGTGGTGGGGGATGCTCCAGTCTCTGTTGTTACGAATATCATCTGGTCTATTTGATGAGCTCGCTGCATTCTTAGCAGCAGGGCCGGTGAATGTCACATCACTGTCTTTCTGGGCTTTGTTTGACAGGGTCGATGCCCTAACATGCCATTTATCCATGCATTTACCACATCAAAATATGGAAAAGTGGAACAGCATGAGCAACTTGTGCCAATCTTCTTCTATGTGTCGAAACAGAATTTCCTCAGAGGTTTCCACTTGTTTCAGAGTTGTGCAATCACAGTCTCCCTCTTTCATTCTTGCAATCCCCTCTTTAAAGAGGTCAGTGTTGCAATGTTTGCAGATTTCTAAAAACCTGTTGTCTTCCAAGTCTTTCATAATGTTTAAAGGTACTACAGGTGTGTCTTTCCTTCCAACCAGCAATGTGGGGTTTTATTTGCAATCTTTTCCAGTCTTGCAAACTGTTGGCTTGTTGGTTTTGTGTACAACACGCAAAGTTGACTGTAAAATCCTTGTGTTACAGTGCATACCCTCTTTGTGGTGCATATTATGAATGCACTGTATACAGGTCCAAGGAATGCTCCTAAAACCCAAATCACATTGGTGTATTCCACATATCTTAATCAGACAATACTACAATTGGGGTAACGGCTAATTCAGAATATCTAACCTGCAAACACTGACCTCCCATTTGCTATTTTTATTTCTTTTGTGTAAAAGAATTGTTAGTTCCAATCAACAAAATCTATTAAATGTAATATATTATTTTGTTTTGTTTCATATTTATTTTCATTGTGATGTGCAACACAAATACAAATCATTTTATTTTATTTTTATTAAATCCATTTTTAGTGTTAACACAGGGGCTGTATTAGTGTTCCCTTTTATTGGTTGACCATTAATCTAAATCTAAGCCACCACAGTAGGAGTTTTCCTCTCTAATTTATCTCTACCACTACGAGTGGCACCTTGGCCATTATATCATTTATTCAGGGTTGAAAAGATCCACCATTACACAGGAGGAGGGGAAATGGCTGAGAGGTAATTTGGACCAAACTACCCCCTGATGCTACACCAGTAAGCCTTGAGTCAAGCACACAGACTCTTCTTCTTCTTCTTCTTCTGTCTCCCATTTAGGTCACTGGATATGTTCACCTTTGCCATATATCCTCTGTTTTCTCTGGTTCTCTTTGGTCTCCAATACTCCCCCAGGGATACTTTACAGAGCAGTTTGTTCCCAGGTTGTAATGTGTCTATTAGTAGTATTTGTGTGTGTTTTAAGGATGTATGGTCCATCAAAAAAAACTATAAAACATGCTGAAGAACATGACGGAGAGGTGGGGGCCAAGCTAACAATCTGACACCCTTGAGTGTAATAGCAGCTGAGTATGGCAAGAACCCTTATTCTCTTGAATTGATCCTTTACTAAACCCCTCTAGTCTTCGTCAAGCTTTGGAGCCAGTGATGACAATATTAGAATTTGAAGAGTTACACGTTACATGTTAGACACAAAACCTGTTCAGAAAATAGGTTGAATAAAAAGACAAATGAACCGTCCAGGGCTGCAAGGTGGTGCAGTTGGTAGCACTGTTGCCTCGCAGCAAGAAGGTTGCCGGTTTGCGTCCCGGTGGGGGCACCGGAATCTTTCTGTGTGGAGTTTGCATGTTCTCCCCGTGCAGCGTGGGTTCTCTCCGGGTTCTCTGGCTTCCTCCCACACAGTCCAAAAACATGTTGAGGTTAATTGGTGATTCTAAATTGTCCGTAGGTGTGAATGTGAGTGTGCTTGGTTGTCTGTCTCTAAGTGTGGCCCTGCGATAGACTGGTGACCTGTCCAGGGTGTCCCCTGCCTTCGCCCTAAGTCGGCTGGGATAGGCTCCAGCCCCCCCGCGACCCTAATGAGGATTAAGCGGTGTATAGAAAATGGATGGATGAACCGTCCATGATGTCACCTATACATTTTTGAAAAAGCTGTTTTAAAGCTTAGCTCTGGCCGGTGCCATTTTGCCGGTGTCTGAGTCTGTCTGACTTTCAGCTAATCCTACATTCGCGAAGAAATGGAGCAAGAATGGAAGTGATGCAGAACATTCAAACATGTCTGGACCAGGAACTGCCCCATGATAGCACTGACCTGTCATTTAATGTAGCCACCGCCCTGATTATGATAGCTTTAACACAATAGTTAAGTTACATAAAAATTCACAAATAAGGAAATTAGCTATAGAGACCAAAACCATTCTGTACCAGTCTGTAAACGTGTTTGCTTCTGTTGTAAAGTTGAACATTTTAACATGGAGGTCGACAGAGATTGACTTGCTTTTGGTGCCAGCCTAACCTGTTGGCTGGGATAGACTCCAGCCCCCCTGCGACCCTAGTGATGATTAAGTGGTGTATAGATGATGGATGGATGGATGAATGGATGGTGCCAGCCTCAAGTGGCCATTTGGGGAACTACAGTAGCTACAGTAGCAGTTTCGCACTTCGAGGAACTTCGTCTTTCAGCCACAGAGCTTGCCACATGGTTGAGCAAGGTTTCTCTGTAGACCCGGAGGCTGAACTTTCAGGACCGCACTTCTTGGACTCGTGGTGCGCCAAAGAAAGTAAGAGCATTTCTTTCCATTCAGTCACTGTTGTTCACCGTTATAAACATTTCTGTTAACTTCCTTCTGATGTCAGCGTTATTGTCTAGTGAAATCATCCTTTAAAACAGTAAGTCATGCACATTAGTGATCACTTATTGTGGTAGGTGGTGCTGTCTTGGGGGGGGGCTCTAAATGTGCGGTTGTACAAGTGCGTTTCTATTGGTGCATTCACGGTCCTGAGAATACGGCCTCTGGATCTGCAGACAAACAAATGTGAGCTGGCATGTAAACAGCCACGTATTATTTTGAACTAGGTTGTACTATTAATGTTGTATTTATTGGCAGTGCCTCTGCTGCTTCACTAAAGCGACAGGCTTTCACATTGTGCTTATTCTGATGTTACTCCAGCAGGGAGTGTTACTAAAAGGCATATCGTTGTTGTCTTTGCTAACGCTGTATGACAAAAGCTGGCATGCTGTGCTGAGTGGATAATCATGACATTATCTAAAGTGGGGAAGCATTATAAATTTTGCATCCAGTGTTCTACTGGACCACTTACAGCGGAGCCCTAACGTTAATAAT